GATTGACAAATAAAAATAGGATTTCCAAATATTTAGTGACATGCCGACTAATCATATGAATTTTCATTAAATATAAAGTGCAAATATTTATTTTTAAATGTCTTATAAATTTCAAAATAAATAAAGATACTATAAAATAATTTTGTGTGAATAGCAAAATTCGGCATTTGGCTGCATTAAAGGCAACTGGAAGTGAGTGCTCCACCGTTTTTTATATAATATTAAGAAAAAAGTAACCACATTCTCAAGTTACCGGCTGTTGTAAATAAATTTTTAAATTTCAGATGATTAAATTTAATTTTATCATTTTCATATATTTAATTATATTTTTTAAACTTCAATGTGCCGGGAAACTCATCTACGTTGAATTGAATATTAGAAATGATTGGGAAGAAAAAAGAGAATTTTTTTATTTAAAAAATGTTGAAATAATGGATCGTTTTGTGGTGAAAATAATTGAAAAGAATAATAATAAATATGATAGCTATAAGAATAATATAGACGGATATTTACGTTCAATTGAGATGAATCTAGATAAAAATATCTTTGAAGTTGAAATAAGTGATAACCCTAAATATATTCCATCTGATCAATTAAAAAATAAAATTTTGATTGAAATTACTAATAAGGAAATAATTCAAAATTTTCTGCCTGGTTTTGAAAAAAGGGTATACTTTTATAAATAAAATTTTGATTCCACAGTGTTAAAACTAGCTAGAAAAAAAAGTAAAAGCAGGCAAATGGAAATCCGCCAATATAACTACTATAATTTGTGTTCAATTTAAGGTACTCCGAAATAATAATTTTGTTGAGAATAATAATCGTTATGAAGCTTCAATATTGTACAAGAGTGAAAATAATTTTAGCTTAATCGAAGAAAATATAAAAGATTACAAAGACAAAATTTTATCAAGTTATTGGACGGAAATTAATTTAATTGGATATAAAATTGAATTGTTAACAAAACAAAAAGTTGTATATCCGAAAGAATTGGAAAGGAAAATTATTGATATTGGAAATAAAATAAGTGAATAAAAATCTTGTTATTTAACAATATATGGATATCCCTATTTCCATACTAAACTTAAAACCTCGAGCAAATAACGTTTTATTTTAATTTTATAGGAGTAAATATTGAAAAGAAGAAGCGAGATTGTTTCAATTGTGGTGTTAAACAACTTAAAACTAGATGGTATAAATATCTCAATGAGCACTATTTGTGTAATACTTGTGGTGATTATCATAAAAAATTTGGAAAGCATAGACATAAAAGCTTGTTTAGTAAAACTAAAAAGGTTGCTATTATTAGGTCGTTAAGATCGCAGTACTTAGTTTTATACCGGATAAATGTCATAAAAACATTTGTATTTCAACATTAACCTGAAAAATTCTGGATTTTTTGTGAAAGATATTCGAGTTATCAGGGATTTGGTTATACAGCTACATTTTTCTTTCTTCTGATTATTTCTCCCTTTTCAAAAAATGAAAAAATTGTCAAATGCATATAAACTAGGCTTAAATTACCGTATAATCTCTGATTGATCTCCAAAGAGACATTCAATTGGAAGGGTCCTCCATCCTATTAATGCCGTTTGATTTGCTTTGGCCAATTTTAATATTTTTGAAAAAGGATGAACATTAAGAGAAAAAGAAAGATGTATGCATACATATACAGCATAATACCCAGAAAATTAAGTTTATTAAATTAACCAATAAAATTAGCATTGAATGGAACTTGCAAAAAACTATCTTCACATTAATTATTTAAGGACGATCGTATATGTTTTATTTGCGGAGTTATACATACATCAATATGGTATCGTCATTCAAAACCTCAACAATATTTATGTAATAAATGTTATAAGAAACAAAATTACAGAAAACTTCTAAAAATCAAAAAAATGAATTGAATAAAGCTGTTTGGGAAGGAAGGTTAATGTGTTTTAAAGTTTATAAAATATAAAATAAATTAATATCCGTCAATATCTTGATAAAATTTTGTTTTCCACTGGAATGTAGATAATTAAGATTAAATAAATTTTGATTGTAAATAATTTTGACACAAAAATGTATAATTATTGTGTAAAATTACTAAAATAATATAATATTTACAAGTTGTTATTGAAAAATTATGTTTAAAAGGTCACTTGACAAAATATGGAAATTAAAGTAATTTGTGATCAACAATTTTCTGAAAAATCACAAATTTATTTTAATCTTGTAAATTAAAATAAATTTTAAACCAACGGCTAAACAAACTTCAATCTTCTATACAAAAAAATAAACTTATTTTTGAAAAATTAGTTATTTAAAAAAATAAATTTTATTTATTGTTAAAGCAATTATATAAGTGAATAAAATTTTTTAAAAAATTGGCGTAAACAAAAAAGGGGTGTCAATGTTTTCTTTTTTCTTTTTTGCGACATAATAAAGGGGAGCGGGGCACATCTGGCATTAATGTAAAAATAAATTTATAATAATATTTGTAAACAAAAAATTAAAAGTAAAAGTTAAAAAGTAATGGGTATCGTACAATTTCTGGGTATCGTACTATCGTACAATTCTGGACCGCGTTCAAGTTGCCATTGATGGTTTCACAGTTCAGGGACGACGTCAAGGCCAGGTTGTTTTCCATCAGGAAAACGCACCTGCGCACCCGTGAAAATGCAACTCGTGCCCACATTAATGAAACACTCGGATGGCAAATTCTACCACACCCGCCTTACTCACCGGACATTGCACCATCTGATTATCACTTATTCCGGTCTATGAAAAATCATTTACGTGAAGTGCGGTCCCTAAATGATAAGTAAATCAAAAATTGAGTAATTGATATTCTAGAGGCAAAATCAGCTACAGTTTTTTATCGAGAAGAATTCTGAAGCTGCCCAAAAAATGGCAAGAAGTAATAGATAATAATGGGCAATACATCGTTTCTTGATTGTTTTTTGTTTTTTTTGTTATAGTAAATTATTTGCTTTATCCATAAAGGGCTCATTCTTTTTGGGTCAACCCATTAAAACGAAAACAGAATTAAAGAAATATTAAATAATATTATTTATAAATATTAAATAATATTACTGAATTTAAAATTTAATATTAAATATTATTTAAAAAATGAATTATTTACATTCACCACAGACAAGAATTAAAATTTTTGATTCTGTTTTTGTTGTTGATATTGTTGGTCGAAAGAAAACATAATAAATATAAGAAATTATTTTTATTTATTCCTCTGATCTTATTTAGTATACTCCTCTTCTTCTTATTTTTGATATTTTTTAATTTCTAAAATTCTCTTTTTTTTGTCTCTCCTATTCTTTCCTTTACTTAAACTGACTTTCTTTCAACTCAATTTCAATTTCCGGAATTAATAAATTAAATCATTATAAATTATTTGTACAATTGATTTTATATTTTAAAAGTTTATATACAAAGATTAAAAAAATATATTTAAATTTTATTTAAATTTTTTAAATTGAAGATCTATTCGTTTATTTAAATTACTAAAATTGAATATAAATATGTAAAATATCAATCGAAAAGATATTTATCTAAATAAACAAAATATAAATATTAAATCTCATTTAAATTTTATTATATCTTATTAAATTTTATGCTATTGTACGCAACCTCTTTAAAATCCAAAAATTTAAATAAAAACTTACATCAATTACAAACAAGAATACAATTTCAAGTTATGCATGTCGTTATTTATTTTGTTTATTCAATAATGCAAGTTTATGGGCGAAAAACTTAAAGGAAACAATTGAAGAGTAATTTCAAACCACTTTTTAATTTTAGAGGTACTCGTTTTGTTAGCTAATTTAAATGGTCTCGCAGAGATTCGGGGTGACAATTCAAAATTTTGGCACATTCATCAATAAAAAATAACATAGCTAAAATAAAATAGTCAACAATAGTTAAGCAATAATTTTGTTCAGGGCAATTAATTATTTAGATAAAATGTGATTTGGACATATATTTAGATAAAAAACTTAATTTAAATGTTGTTTAGTTAGTTATAAAAAAATAATATGCGCCGTACATTTTAGCTCATTAAAATTTAGCTAAAATGGGCTGGATCATTTATTTAATATTTGCAGTATACTCAAGAGATTAACCATTTAAAAATTAATTAAAAATTTTGACTTCGTTCTTTGTGAGTTCTGAAGCAGAAGTGCTTTAACTTTTCTAAAAGATATACAGTTTAAAATATAGTGTTTAACAGTAACTTCATGATAACAAAGAAATTGTGCTATTTTTATGTAAATTAATACTCATTATATAAATAAATTTATTTCACTCATTATCTTTCTTCAAATATTATCAATATGTAATGCACATCCTGTTGTACTAACTGGTTCACGAGCTCTAATTTTAATTCGCATAACTAAAATCTTTACAAAAATACTGTAGCTTATAATTTATATTAAAAATTCTAAATAGATTCGATTTATAATTATTATAAAAGATCATTCTTGAAGCAAATATGTACAGCAAAAATCAATAAATTATATATTATATTTTATATCATATTTTCAAAAAATTTCAACAACACTACTATAGATAGTTATATTTAGATCATTAAAATTTTTAAGTTGGAAATTATTTGAAACAACATTTAGCTTTTTTTTATAAAAATAATTAACACAGTATGTTACGTTTACCGCACAATGCTAAAATGTAAGTACTGAGTAGTATGTAGTATTTACCTTAAATATGGCTAAAGAAAAAAAGTAATAAAAAATAAATACGCATTTGAAGTCTTTTCTCAGCAAAACTTAATTTAGAAGGTAGATTATAATATTTTCTGGCTGAAAGAATCAAAGTAACGTCAAGAATGGGACCCCGGCGTAGCAATTTACCAAGAAAATATTGATCAATATAATTTTAATTTAAAGAATCTTAAGATTTCCAGTTATTGGAAAAAAATACTTTTACATGATACAAGTAAAGCTATTTTCGAAGCTGGAAACCTCGGTGTACAACCTCCAAATATGGAAGTTTTGTTCAAAAAAATTAATTTACATTTTGTTAATCAACACCCTCTTGAAAAATTCAAAACATTTCCATTACACGAAAAAATTATTTATATTGGAGGTATACATGTTGAAGAAAAGAAAATCTTGACAGAGAAAATTTATAAACTGAACAATAAAAGGGTAAAATTATTTTAAATTTCAAGTTGAAATACGGAAAATTCTTCCAAAGATGTAGTCGTATAGGCCTAGAGAATTATATCGAATCGAATTTGATATAATTTGATTTTCCACACATTTACACATCAAATTTCAAATCCAAAATATTTTTAGAATTTTTATCAAAGCTTTGAAATTATTAGATCATGGATTTGAGTTGCTTGATTTATATTGTGTATTTGTAGATATTAATTTTCCAAAGATGTAGTCGTTCCAACTAGAGTTGGCCGGGATCGGGATCCCGGTCGGGATCGGGCGGGATTATCCCGGGTTTTTCAAATCCCGATCTCGATTTTTCTGATCCCGAGACCGAAAGGTGAATCCCGATCCCGATTTTGGATGATCCCAATCCCGAGCCGGGATCCGGGATCGGGATGTGCATCAAATCCCGAAGAAAATCCCGATTTTTTAAATTGACTAGAAGAATGAAATAAAGTTAACAGAAGAGGGGAGGCGTGAAAGTTAGAAAAATTTTCGCCTGCGGCGCAGAAAAATAGAAGAAATCTGACTTAAGAAGATCCAAAATTCTCAAAATTTTTGCCTGCGCCGCACAAAAGGAGCAAATTTGAACACAGCTGTCTTAAAAGTTTAACGAAATATTGAGTTATTTGATGTGATATCGAGCGAACAAGAGTGGTCGAGGGGAGTATCGGTGGATTTGGAGTATAGAAGGATATCGAAGGTTTTACAGGGATTAAGTTAGACAGCGATTAAATTAGCCCCCCCCCATTAAGATTAAGTTACAGGGATTAAGTTAGCCCCCTTCCCCCCATTAAGATTACGTTACAGGGATTAAGTTAGCCTCGGTCATCTCAACAAACTTTACTTTTGGACCACACTATTAAAACAGCTAATTTTATTTATATGTTAATTAATTTAAGCGTGAATGTATTGTTCTAGTTTCGTTTGGAACTGTTAAAATTTCGGGAGAATTGAATCGAGAAAATATTGAAACAATGTTTGATAGATTCAACCGACATTCTAAATGCAAATTTATTGTTCGAATAGAAGAACATCTTTTGCCAGAAAATTATAACAAAAGTAAAATTAAAGTCACAGATAAATTTATCAACCAACAAGAGATTTTATGTAATATTTATTTAATTTAAAATGTGCGGCAAATTTTCAGTGCGATTAGTTTTTGTCAAACTCTTTTATTATGACGGTGATAAATATAAAGGAAATAACTATTTCAATCCTAACAAAAATCACGCACACAATTTGAGCAAATCCATATAAATATTAAGAAGGTGTGGGGACATATGGGGACGGATTGGGGTGACAAAAATAATTTCTTCCGTTTTAAGTTTGTTCTAAAATAGAAAAAACTTTATTCCTCAGTAGGACAATATACTATCCAAGACTCAGTGGTCGTAGTTTCGAAATCAGTATGGTAACTGTTCGTACATTGAAATATCCATAGTCCGTCCAAATGTCCATTTCGAAACATTTTAATAAATATTAAGCTGAGAAGAATACAAAATTGTTTATTACTGATTGTGGACAGCATAGTTTAATTGAGGTTAAATTATTTAATTTAAAAATTATTAAATTTGAAATCTTGGTTCTGTTTTGCAAAAATACCGGGTTTCTTCATTTGTTCTATTAACAGTATATCCTATCCATAGCTTTTTGAAATTATTAATACACAAGTTTTATCTAGAATCCTTACTAAATAAATAGCAATTATTAAATTCAATTTTAAAGGCAATCTATGCAGGTGTTCCTTTAATTTGCATTCCAAACTCGTTTGAATTATTTTTGAATTACATTTGAATTACATTCCAAACTCCAAACTACAGGGTGCCTCAAAAGTCTTTGCCCGCATATTTTTTAGCATAACTTTATTAAAACTTAATCAAATAATATCAAAATACAATTATATAATAGAGAATTAAATGGAGAACAAAATAAATCAGGATTTTTCGAAATACCTTCCTTTAACTTTAAGATAGAGGCGCAAACGCAAACAAAAAATTTTGCAAAATTGCCGCACCTCCTTTGTTCCTTTTTTCAGATGCCAAAATTTTTATGAAAGAGACATGTGCGAATCGCAAAAATGACTGATATTGGGTCTCAAAATCTCCTCTTTCTTATTCAGTTGTTAAGGATTTCCAAAACCCTTCCATCGGAATGATATGGACTGTTATTTGCAAAACGATCAAAATTCCTTGATTTTTATGAATCCTTGGGTCAAAATAAATAAATACTTTGATCTACTCGAAATGCTTCCTCCATTGTAGAATATTTAGGTATTGGAATATATGTAAAAATGCTAGAAACTGATCAACGTTATGACTCGAAGGATAAAAATTTGAAATTTGAATATGATTTTAAAAGAGCTTTCAATGAAATTTTTACCAATGAGTAAATACATTTAACAATGAGTAATGTATGATGTTTGTCATGAAAAATTTTTGAAATATGTGAAGTCAATTCTGTCAATTAGCTTTCAGCTTTACTCGGAAATGGGATGTTAACAGCTGTAATCTGATGAATGCCGGATATTGAAATAATCCTCCCCCAAATAGAAATTATCATATTCCAATCATATTTTTAGCAAATATCAAAAAGCTGCAGATAATTTGAGAGAGAATATTCTATCAAAATATTACAAAGGCTACAAAGCAAAAGACGTTTTATTTGAAAAGATTTCGGAAGTTATTGGTGACTAAGAAAATTTGAGAGAATTGAAAGTAATTTTTTAAATTTGGATTTTATTATAATTAGAGCCCAAAAAAATCGTAAAATTAAAATGAAACCTAAAAACAAGCAAAATTAAAAGAAAAAACAAAAAAATTAAAAAAACAAAAATCCAAAAAAACATAAAATTTAAAAATCATACAAAAATAAAAATCCAAAAACAAAAGAAACGGAAAAAACATAATTCAAAAAATCGAAAAATTCCAAAAAAACTTTTATTTAATTCTATCTACATATTTAAAATCTATTTTTTCTTTTCTATTTTCATTCTTTTGTAAATTTAAATATTTAATCTTTTGTATAAAATATTTCCGGGAATTGTTTTGTATTTATATTTAATTTTTAATGATTATAAGGGTGTCAAAAATATAGGAATTGGTACCGAAAAAAAAGTTTCAAAAAAATTTTTAAATTCGGTTGAATAGATAATTCTTAACAAAATTATGTATGTATCAGGACCTATTATAAAGTTTGCCGCGAAGACTTATTTTAAAGTTTACAACAAATACTCATAACAAGCAGAAAAAATTTTTAAATAGCCTTACTCCAGTTATTTGATGCACATTTCGAAATAATTTAATAGAAAAATTTGGAATAGATTATTGAATAAAATCTTTAGATTGTTGAATTATTTAAAAATTACTGATTTAAAGTTTAAACACAAATTTTTAGAGTTATTTTTTTAGTATTTCTAAGTTTAGCTGAATATTTTCAATCTGTCTGGTCTTATATTGTACACTTTTTCACAAGATACCACTTTCCTAAAATGTTATTTCCAACATTATAAAACATCGACAAAAATTCTAAAAAGCAGGTGTATTGATATTATAAATTAATAAAAAAAACAGACAGGATAAGCCGAGATACTCAGGCCTCGTAAATTTAGGTAAAACATTGGTAATGCTTTTTTTTTTATATTGCACATTCGAACAAGCTCATTTGAACATGCTTATTCGAACAACTAATAATAATTTTATTTTTAAGAAAAATTCAATAAAGGGATAGGCAGTTAATCCTCTGGGGGCCGTATTCTAAGTGTTGGGTCGGGGGTAGTATTTTTAAGATTAAATCATTATTTACCAGTTTCTTTCTACTCGGGTAATAGAACCGCATGAATTAAGAGCCATTATTTATTAGATTAAAACTAGTAAGGAATATAGGTAATATGTTGAAAGGCAACTAAATTTCTTATGTAAGTGCTAGACTAAGACAATACAGAATTTTCAAAAAATTATATGTAAGCTTTTTAACAATATTAATTTTTGTTTGAATTACAAAAGTTCGTATAATTGTCATTAAATAAATGTTATAATTAATCTTTTATAAATAATAAATTAGATTTTGGAGTAACTCTCTATTTATTCAAACTTTTTCTATTAAATTTTTGTTATTCTCTTCTTTGTAACTTCTCTTGCACTTTTACAGCCACATGCATTACATAAATATTTTCCTGGTTCTGAATGACGGCGCCATTGTATTGTTTGTGTAACTCCGCAAATAAAACATTTACGATCGTCCTTAAATTACTTTATGAAACTTTGTTTTCATGTTAAGTTAATGCTAAGTTTAATCATTAATTCAGTAAAAATTAATTTCATGAGTACTATGCGTTTATACGCCAAAACTTTTTTTTCTTTTTTTTCTATTTCAAAAAATTAAAACTGGACAAAGGCAAATAAAGCTAAGATTAAATTATCGTATTATCTTAAGATGATGGAGTAGTGCTCTTTGGAGTAGGATTGAAAATCTGTATAATAACAGAGCTATCTATCAAAGATTATTCAGCAATTTAATCCTAGCTCTATTTACATTTGACCATTTTTAATATTTTTAAAAAAGGAGTTTAAATTACAGTGCCGAAAAGAAATATTTACGACGTCCTCAAATTAATTAATGAGAAGTAATCTAACGGTATTATTTAAAGCATAGTAAGTTCAATTATATAAACAACATTTCGCTTATATCTCTATCGGTCATCAACATTTGGAAAAACAACCTTCATTATGTTTAGAATTGAGTTAAAATTCATTTAAAGAGTTCCAATAAAAATTATTATATCGTCCCAAATATTGATAAAGATAACCTTTCTTACCTTAAACCATAATTCTTTTGTTCTAAACTTTCCATATTTGTGTTTATATACGCCACATTCATTGCATAAGTAATGTTCTTTTAGTACATTATGCCACTGTTTTCTTTGTGTAACTCTACAAATGAAACACTTTCGTTTATTTACTTCAATTATTTCACCTATAATTATCAAGAAAAATTTTTTA